TATATATGTTTATAGCGTTCCGGTGAAAAGCAGCCGATAACACATCCGCTCAAGACCTCATGTACACCTAAGGTACATGCGCCATACTTGTCATTCACCAGCAAGTGCAGTGCAATGGTCACGTTGAACAGGTTCAGGTTCTTGCTGAGCAAGGGTATCTCCACCTCCACTGTGTCTTCTTCGAGGCTAGTCCACTCAATTTCGTATGGGAAGATAGGCTGCAATATTTGGGTAATAAATGGTCCGTTCGGAATTAGGTTGGAGTACATTAAGCTGCCGTTCCCGAGAAAAAACCCCTAAACCTGATATCAGCACATACACTGCGTGAAGACTTCTTGGGCGGCAGATTCGGGATTTTCCACCATCCACAGACTGACTACAAGCTAAAGAACTCGTATTAAAACCCAGAGCTGTAATTATAAATAACGCTGCACGTGCACTCACCAGACCCATATGAAATAGACTGTCTACAAGTTAAGGAACTCGTGTGAGTACCCAGAGCTATAACTATAAATAGCGCTGCAAGTGCATTCATCAGACCCAAATGAAATAGACTGTCTACAAGCTAAGGAACTCGTATGAGTACCCAGAGCTATAACTATAAATAGCGCTGCACGTGCACTCATAAGACCCAAAGACCCCCCCCCACACTTGTGGGATATCTCGTCAAGCACACACATACCATACCTGGAAGTCGATACTAGAGAGCGCGTTACCACCACTATGCACGATGGTAACGTTTAAAGGTCGCCGAGATGGCTCGTTGGGTGTCTTCTTTTTCTCCTTATCTGTGGCATGTGTTTTACGTGTCTCCGCTTTCTCCTTATCTGTGGCATGTGTGTTAAGTGTCTCCACTTTCTCCTTATCTATAGAATGTGTGTTGGGTGTCTCCGTGGAATCCCTGCGTATCCTGTGCACGCTTATCCTCAGAGTCGCATCTGATTCGCGCGCAGTCAGCCTTTTATGGTAGAGATGTAGGTAGATGTAGGTATTGATAATCAATTCATCGGGATCTTCATACTGAAAGAGACGTGTCATTTGGTATATGTTAAGCGGAAGAGACGTTTAATAGTATGTTTATTGAACGTGCCTATCGTATGCTAACAGCCTGGAGTATTTAAAATATAGTCATTGATGCTAAACCCATCGAGACCTTCATAACGAAGGTAGTATTGACAATAGTATATGTACAGCAAAAGATATGTGCCGGGCGTGTCTATCGTATAGCTGCGTGTCTAGTGAGCGCTCATCGGCAGCGTCGTTTCGATTTCACACAGCCAGCCTGATATATATATATATATATATATCTGCTAAGATTGCGCCCTTTTTCAGCGATGGGCCCGCACTCTATGGTACACCCCCCACTCAGACGTGGCAATACGATAACGCAAACGATAAGAGAGTATATTATATATCTTACTAATTATACACGTATGCATAAACCATGAACAATGAGGCAACGCCCATACCTTATCCCGTTAGACTGCACAATGCTATGGTCTAGTGTGTCAAGGTTATGAGCCGAGGCAGTTTGTGTCTATGGTTCTGATGATTGAGGTATGGCAGCATATACACACACATTTTACATTGATGACCAGACAGAGGGGTGCCAAACTGCACATATTCGTGATCGATTCAGTCATGGATATGAGCCACAGTAGTGGTGTCCATAGCTTCAAGACGTATTGGCCTACATACCCACGTACATGATCCACGTACACGTAGAAGCTCACATAAATTGCCTCGGAAAAACTACACAATAACATGATCGAGACCGCAATGGATAGAAGCCAAGACAGTGGCGTCTATAGTTGCAGGCGATTCCTGACTCAGACATAGTTGCATGTATATACACACGGTACAATCATCGCTACACCGGGGACGCGCCTACCTTGTCTCGCCAAACTGCACCATATCATGATCCAGGCTATCGTGGATTTGCACTAATGCAGTGGTGCCCTGGTTCATAGAGGTTCCCCCACCCAGGCGTGCCAGGCACAGGGCTCTCTCGCCCTTGTCCCCTTTTCTGGTATTGGGCATTTGCACCATGCGTGGCCCATTGTCCCTGTGATGTTCATATCAGTGAATTGTAAGTCAGATACGTATTGAGATGTGTGTACTTGTGCGTCCCTCAATATGGTATGCACCTGTACGTGTGTTTACTCGCATAGGACTTCCTTGTATATCTCTCCGATTCTATTGCTAGGCATTCAAACCATGCCAAATTATTGTCCATGTGATGTTTGCAGCAGCGGATGGAGGATGGTTTACATATTTAAAGGCGTGCACATGTGCGCAACTATAACTAATCACATACGTATACAATAGTCTTATACTCTCTCTCTAAACAGAAGTTGTTCCATAAATGACGTATAGACATACAGAAACTTTTCTAACTATATTACACATACAGGCGCTTCTACATGTCTACGTATACAGATCAGGCAAATAATGTACACCCATGCAGAAATGAGGAATGATAGCAACAGTAGTAAAACTTAACCACATACTTGAGTACCTACACTCGTACCCGTACACGGATCAGCTATCATCGCACACACATGCCGAGCTGAGTGGTGGTGAAAGTAAAGTGAACTAAACTTAACCACACGTGTTGGTGCGAATACACTCATACCCGTTCTCCCACAGCACAGTGTGGCCGCTATCGTCATCCCTTCCGCAAAACTTGAGCACAGCTTTTAAAATCCCATTTTTTCCGTCAACGCGTTCGATCCACACGGGAAACGTATCGTCCGACGCTACATATAGCACGACAATGTGTGGTGATAAATTACTCAAGTACTTTTCTGGCTCGGACGCTTGCCAACAAAACAAACTGTGTGTGCATATCCAATAGCATCGTAGTAGCTATGTTGCATGGGTGAGTTGATGTCTATGAACCGTTTTTCTCTCGTATGAATGATAACATAGGTTACAACACACACTCTCCCCTCGTTAATGTGTGTGTTCGGATACTTGTGAACCTCTAGTAGACAGCCACAGGTTCGAGACTATCTTCTATCGAGCCGTGTACAGTGATTAGCTGTACATGCACGTCTGGCACAGGCTCTCATAGCGTATACACACACCCTATACCACTACAAAGTATATGATAATATCACATTTGTTCAGAGGTATATCACGGCACACTATAGGTGCACCTACCTAGACTATGGTACTCCGGCGCAATGAATCTGGGGTGGCCTGTATGGCACATGGCTGTCTTGGCAACACATCGGGACCGACACCCAAGCTTTATAAACCCACAGCCCTGCGAACCCGGCTCTGCAAGCCATTGCAAGTAGCGTATGTGAGTGGGTAAAGTAGCAATACGATTGAAATCACTATCTGAATATATGAATACAATCGTAGATGAATATATGATAATGTTTTTGTATAGCTGAGTGAGTTGATCTTTGCAGTGGTGGTATGTAGTATGATAATATATAAAGGAACTCGGAACCACAGGGAAGTTCTCGGATCGTACGGTGGCCTAAATATGCAAACTTCTGGATAGGAGTGTGAGCAAGCCACTAGTTGAGTGTGAAATTCAGTCCAACTCCATACGCAAGCACTCACGTATTATATCTTAAACAAATATGTATGTATACATA